CCTTCACCTGGATTTGCTGGTGGTTAACAGTCATGAGGTTTGCTTTCCCTCCTTACGAGAACACGCGCACACCTAGATTGCTGTCATTACTGTTATTTTGTTGAGCCATTTGAGAGCAGGTTGAAGACATAATGAGCTTTTATTCCTAAGTACTTGAGCTAGTTTTTGCTAAGAATAGGGACATTCTTTTAGCTAATCACAGTAGAGTCAAGAATCCAGGAAATTTAATGTGGATACAGCACAGCTGTCCAGTACCGAGACTGTATCCAAATGTTGCCATTTGTCCCAATTATTCCAGGTTGTGATCTGCCTTTTCCTACACTGGAGGTTGTTGGAGGAGATGGGAAGGCAGACGAGGGCCTGTTCCTTTGGCCGCTTTTCTCTGCCCAGTTACTGCTGCCCCTTTACCAGAGCACCCTCAGAAAAGCACGTGGGGGTCTGCTGGGAGAGCTGCTCTCAGGTGCCCCGAGTTTGTGTGATGGTCATTATTAAATGCAGCACCAGATTAAGCAGACTTACCGCCCACTGCAAACCTTGGCTCATTCTCAGACGTAGTTAGGCAGATTCTTCTACTGCCACGCAAAGTCGGCCCACCTGCATGTATAAAAGATTTAATAATACACCATCGCCCTTTGACTGCAGAACCAGCCTCAATTAAAACTACAAATCAGACCTCAGCCTTAGCACCAGGGGGCAGAGTTGGCCTTGCTGCGTCACTGGAGTGGGGAATTTTCTAACTCTGTGCCCACAGTTGGCTTTTAGGCATTTTACATGGAAACCTCCTCACAACTGAAGACAGTAATTAGCTTATTTGTTCACGTCGCTAAAGACTCTTTCTACCTCCGCTGCTTTCCTGAGGTTCACAGACGTGCTATTTCTCCAGTGACAATGAAACAGAAACCTGTCACCTTCATCAAGATGAACGTGCTAAGTCCCAAGAGACTGGCTTCTGTTTTTTCCATTAGCAGATTCTGCATTCTTAAATAAAGTGTCTTTGTGTGGTCTCCTGAATTTCCTCAAGACTGCTTTGACCTCAGAGTGTTTCTAAAACATTAATGGATCAGAGAAGCGGGCGGATTAGATAGAGGCTAATACTCGGTTATCACTTTGTAGGAACTGGTTTAGCTTGCTGGTCCAGGCCAAGCTACCAAGGTGGTTGCATCAGGACCCAGATTATGATGAGATTACAGTCTGTTTAAACAAATCTCCAGCCTCTCCACCTCATTAGTGATTAGCAGGATATTGGTGAGACAGGGATTCCTGTCTCACTTGGTTCTCCACTGCATGACAAGAGGTTGGAACACAATTAGGCATTCTGTCCCTGCCACCAACTAGCAGCTTCCTCCCAGTGGTGCCTGGCAGCCTGCCAGAATCTTGGGCCCTGCAGTGGTACCTGCTTCTTAGAGAGTGGGTTTGCTACCTCAGCGTGACTGAGTTTCTTTTGTCTGTGCATCTAAAATGCTTCATGACAATTATTGTTCAAACTTTACCTTTTCCTGCTTTCACAATATCAAAGACATCTTAGGTCTGGAGAATTCTTACCTGGTTTTGTTCCTGGTGAGACTCATGGTGGTGTGGTATTTTGCTGGCTAGCACTAAGCACATGTTTAAGACATCCATCTTTGAGACTTCCCTGTTGACAGCCTTCTGGGGCTCAGGCCTGCAGAATTAGATGTATTGAGAACACCTTCGTTGTTAGAGGTGCCACTGTTCCCTTGAGTTGGAGAAGGTCTGTTGACATCTGCAGGCCCATAGCATCTGTATGCCATTTACCTGCTAGTCGGAGAGGGGCCACTGGGGATAAGTGGTCATTGTTTCTTGTCTTCTCTCTCCCGTTTTAGAATTAGATATCAAGATTCCCATACCCCCCCTGCCCTGTGAAGTTAGTGTTGAGAAGACTATTAGATAAATCATTTAGGACTGACTTTCTGTTTGGTGAGTATCAGTGTTGGCGGGACCCCATTTCTTGTATCTGCATCAGGCCTATGAGGGTAGACAGGGTGGATGACCTAATAGCAAATAAGAGCTGAGAGTGGCTATAAAGGAACAGTGGATCTATTAAAACAAAAGTCTGATTATAGCGTTTAATCACTGCAGCTTAGGAGTCAACATCCTCTGGCTCCAAGTCTTTCCTCCAAAAAACTATCATTTGTCAAGATACTTAAAATCATAATTCCTGGTCATCACAGGCCTCAGGTTTCTTTCAAACCACTTAGAAAGATGTGTCAGGCATCTTGAAGCCCACGCTCATAAAATGCTCAGTTTCTCTTGGCCTTTGCCTGTTGGACATCTTCAAAGTGCCAGGCTTAGCTGCTGCAGCTACAGTGAGCTTACTAATTGGCACAGCACCTGCAATCAATTAGGGAAGCTTCAATTATCCAAACCAAAGCCACCCACCCAAAGATTAATTTTCTGCTCTATTTCCTATCAAAAACATAGCATATTTAGCTTGGAGTCCAGTCAGTCCTTAGTGGAGTGTTTTTAGACACCATTTTCTTGTTAATTGTGCCTGTCCCTTCTTCATTACAGCCCTCTGCTTGTAATGTCCCCCGCACCAGCTCTCCAGAGCAGTTTCTGTTGTGTTGTGTTCCTTCCACACTGCTGGGGTCACAGGAAGAAGATGTGGGCTGGGTGGTTTTTGTTTGAAGTGTGACTCTTTTTACATCATAGGACCTAGCTTTCACGACCTAGCGTTACGTAACGGCATTCCTGAATTGAATCACACTCATAAATATGCTTTGTAACTGGCCCATGTAAATAGAAAAAAAAAAATTGCCCACACCTCCTTTCTGAAATGTAATTAATTGTCCTGTTGTGTTTCTCAGAGAAAGAACAGGCCGTAAACCGAGCTGGTATTGTCCAGGAAGATGTGCAGCCGCCAGGTAAACTTAAAAAATTCCAAACAGTCCCATCTGGAGCGCGTGGTATGAGTGCATGCTTTGTGAGGAGAGGAGGTGGCTTTTCTTGGGGAACCTAACCTTGCTGCTGATTTTAGGATAGTTCTTGTCTTGTCAGAGCTATCCAAGACTTGATGCCAATATTTCAGTGCCTGACACTTCACAAGATTGCTGGGCCCAATTTTGCACTTGGTAAGCGGGCATGAGATGTAATTCAATATGCAACAGATCATTTGCTTTGCGGCCTCCCCTCTGCAAACAGCACCCTCATGGGAAGTAGTGTTTACGGGTGAGCTGTGTTCACTGATGTGGGATTCACTTCCTACAGAAGTCCCCAAAGCTCCCTTCAGGGCTGAACGGGATGTTCCTTTAAAATGATCCAAGTTGGCTGAGAATGAGAGGTTTTCTAGCTTTTTAACCCAACTCCTGCAACCTGTGGGCCCTATGCCAAATCCTTTTTTTCCTGGTAGGGGATAGTTCCTAAGCCGTTTCAGAGCTCCTCACAGCTCTGGCTGCCAGGCACCTGCTCTCCCCATCCCAGTGTCTCAGCCATGTGGAGACTGCACGACTCAATCCCTGCAGCATCTTGTTTCTTCAGGATCAAGGGGGTGTGCCCGGACACTGAACAGTGATTCCTGATGGGGTTTCTGTGTTTCTTTCCATAGGGTTGAAAGTGTGGTCCGATCCTTTTGGCAGGAAATAAGGCTGTCAGCAATTCTGATGAGGAAGGTGGACATCTTCATCTGTACACTCTGCAGTGGGGACACTCTATGCTGGAGAGGGAACACTGATGCTGCCAGCCAGAGCCCGTGTGATAGAGACTGTGTGCAAAGACAGTGTTTCCCTTCAGTCCCTGGAGAACCTAACAGATGACACCATTAGGAAGCGCCTGGTGGCTCCGTTGACTTCGCAGGAGCAGAGCCAGCCTGCAGGGCTGTTTGTGGACGATCTGCTTCTCATGCAGCCTTTATCACTTCCCAGCTGTGGTGTGAACCCACGCAACCTGTGGGCTCAAGGGCCGGCTGCCTCGCGACTTTCAGAATAACTGATTTCAGTGTGAAAGGCCATACCAAGCCGCCTCACAGCGCTCTTTGAGAAGGTTCCAGTTGATAAGGCTGTTTGAGGTCAGGATCCTTGGCGCTGTTTAAGATTACTCTGCTCAGATTAACTATCTTGTTGAAAGTCTTTGTATTCGGAAGTAAAAAGCAAGTCCACACCGGATTACCTTAGAATCATAGGTGAGCCTGCCAGCAGCAAGGCTGTGGGTATTAAAATGGTTTCTCTTAGTTTGCTGCTGTGTATTGTTTTTGTACTGTGTGTGTGCGCATGCGTGCATGTGTGTGTTGTGAATGTGTGTGTGTGTGGTTTGTTTGGGGAGCAGGTTTATTTGTTTTAGTTTTTTGAGACAGGGTCTGACAGGCAGATCTTAAACTTCCAGAGATCCACCTGCCATTGCCTGATAGAATTTTTTTGTAAACTGAATTCTGATATCAAGAAGTAGTAGTATTGTCTAGATTCTATTTGTGTAGATGTGTTTCTTCGTTAGGGTTTTATGGCGGTGAGGTAACACCATGACCACCGCAGCTCTTATAGATGAAAACATTTCATTAGCTTTCAGTTTCAGAGGTTTAGCCTATTGTCGTCATGTTGAGAAGCATGGTGACATGCAGAAAGACATGGTGCTGGAGAGGGACGTGAGAGTTCTACATCTGGATCTCCAGGCTGCAGAAGGAGAGTGTGAGCCACACTGGGCATAGCGTGAGCATATAAGACCTCAAAGCCTGTCTCCAAAGTGACACATTTTCTCCAACAAGACCATACCTCCTAATAGTGCCACTCCCTATGTGCCAAGCATTCAAACTCGTGAGTCCATGGAGGCCATTCCTGTTCACACCACCATTGTCCACATAGGGTCGTCTCTGTATACAAGGTAAACAGTGCACCTTTTGAGACATCTGTTGTGGTAGTCAAGGTTCTCCAGACGATCGGAACTGTTAGAATGAATATACATACGTGTGTGTGTGTGTGTGTGTGTGTGTGTGTGTGTGTGTGTGTGTGTATCCACAAAGGGGATTTATTAGTGTGGTTTACAGGCTGTGGTCCAGCTAATCCGATGATGGCTGTCTACCAACAGAAAGTCCAAGAATCCAGGAGTCCTTCAATCCACCAGACTGGATGTCTCAGCTGGTCTTCAGAAGCCACCAGAATCTCGAAGAAGTGTGCTCTGATGCCGGAAGGGAATGGACTTGCCCCTGAGAGCAAGGGCAAGCAGGCAAAGAGTGCAGACTTCCTCTGTGTCTGTTATATAGCTGTCACCAGAAGGTGTGGGCCGGATTAAAGGCGGGGCTTGCATTTCAAATGCCTTCATTAAGAAAGACCCCTCACAGGTGTGCTCGGCCTTTTGGGTTTAGTTAAGTCATGTAGCCATTGTAGCTGTTAATGGAGTGTCAGTTTTCCACCAGGTTCATCATCAGGAGCTACAGCAGTAAGAGCCAGTTTGCTATTGATTTTTTTTTAATTTTCTCCGTCCCTTGCTTTCACGTCTTTCTTTCCTTCTGTGTCTTTCTTCTTCCTTCCCCTCCTCCCCCCTTTCTCCGCTGTTCTTTCCATTCCCTTTCATTTCCCATGCTCTGCCTACCTCACCTCCTGGTAGACGACTTCGTATTGAAAAGCCAGTCTGTTTCTTTACAGAAAGCCTTGTGTGTTTCTGTAGCCTCTGTCTATATGAGGTGCTTGGTGACATAATTATGAACTTGGCCTTTTCTTAACACGCTGGCCCAGAATGTAGTGACTGGCAAACAGAAATAAGATGAATAGTTCTAAAATCAGAGTCATCGTTTTTGGGAGGCATTGCCCAACATCTAATTGACTTGCAGTTAACAACCCAGGAGAGGAAGTGGACTAATTAGGGGTGCATTTGCCTACTGTTTTCCTTGGGTGGGGGAACCAGAAAGTTATGTAATTTAAAGTCAAGTTGTACAGATGCTCAATTGAACCTTCTTATGTCCGAGGCAAGTGCATGTGTTTGGAAGGACACCGGGCTAAGGAGCTGAGGTTTGGGAAAGAACTGTGGGAACAGACCCAGGATATCTCCTGATACTTGTCCTGGGCTTGTGTCTCCCTCCCTCGGTCTCCATTTGTGCAGTACCAGAGTCACCTTGGTGTTTGCAGCAGGGGCATCCGTGACTCAGACACAGGACTGCAGAGTGCTGCCTACGCCTGCCCAGTGAGTGTGAGAGGTCCTCAAGAGGATCGTCCAAGGGCCTCACTAGCCAGGAGTCCTCAGGTCACCCCTCCCCCAAGGACAGCGATAGAAGTACTCTGCTGACAAGAGACAGCTCAGTCAGGTGCATTAGGAAACAGATATGCTATTGACTAGATACATTGGATTCTAATTCTGCGGTTTCCTGGGGAGGGTGATCATTTCCCAAGGGCTTTGAACAGTAGCACTCCCTACTGCCACCTTTCTGGGACTGGTGACTTCCCCTTTAGGGGAAAATCAGATAATTGCTTCTTAAATCTTTTGATCTCTGGATACCTTGACACTCTTTAAAATGCACTTTTTCAGGACTGGGGAAAAGAACACTGAACTGCAGTCTTGAGACAGAGTTTGAATTCCCAGCACCCATGGAAGAAGCTGAGCATGGCTGGGCATGCCTCTGTAACCCCAGCACGGGCGTGGATGAAGACAGGCAGATCCCAAGCACTTGCCAGCCAGCCAGCCTAGTTGAAGTGGCTCAGTGAAAGGCTGTCTCAAGGCAGTGAAAGTGGAGAGCAGAGGAGGAGGCACCCAAGATCCTGCCTTGGCCTCTGCATGCACGCTTGACAGCAGGCAATCACACACACTGTCATACCACAGTTTCCAAAACTTTAAATAGTGTTCACGTGAGTTATTGCACTTACTGTATTACAACCTTAATAATAATAACAATAATTAAGAATTACATTATTTAAAAAGTATCAATTACAGTATCACATTGGTTAATAGAATGTTGTCCGAAAATTTTTTATTTCTTGAAACAAAGTTATTTCTGAGGCTAGGGAAACAGCTTAGTGGGTAGGATCACTTGTTATACAAGCATGAGGCCCTGAGTTCAAATCCCCAGTACCCATGTTAAAACCTAGGCATGGCCACATGCACCTGTAACCCCAACCCTGTGAGGGAAAGAGACAGGAAGAGATAGGGATTGCCAACCGCCAGTCAAGCTCCAGGTTCAGTGAGAGAATCTGTCTCGGGAACAGGCGGCAAGGAGAGAGCCGGACACCCGACACTCTACCGTGGCTTCCATCCGTACCTGTGTGCGCCCACACACATCCCATCTACGTGCACCACATCCCACAAATACTCATACCAACAGAAGGCCTCTGCATTCCCATCTCTCTGCATTGGGTCTGTTGTATGATCTCTACACGTGTGAGGCATGGGAGGGGAAAGGTCCCCAGGAAAGTTTTAAGTTTCTACTCCTTAGATAGACCTTTTGAAGATTCTGTAGCTAAATCTCATCTGTTGCCTAAACTGGTTAATCATCCTGAGTGTGTTTTGCTGTGTGTAATATTGGAGGAAGTTGTAATAGGAGGGGAGAGACTGAAAACATACTCACCGTTACTGGAATAAAGGAAGCTCTATTCAGGCTAGAGAGACGGCTCAGAGGATAAGAGCTCTGCCTGCTCTTGCTCAGGTCCTGAGTTCAGTTCCCAGCAATTATATGGTGGCTCACAACCATCTGTGATGAGATCTGGTGCCCTCTTCTGGCCTGCGGGTATATGTGCAGGCAGAGCATTGTATACGTAAGAAATCTTTAAAAGAAAAAAAAAACCCTCCATTTGTTTCTTCATGCTCCGTTTCTTCTTTCACATGCCCAACAGTACCCCTGTGGATGGACTTGGATCTACGTTTAAACCCACAGTCAGAAATAGCAGCGCTGCTGAACAGTTGCAACACTGAAGTGTATAACACGGCAATTCCCTTTGGCTGGTAGGAAGCTCAAATGCATTGTGACTCTGCTCTTCAAGAACTGCCCTGGGTGTTGGAGAGATGACTGGGAGGTTAAGAGCACAGGCTGCTCTTCCAGAGGAGTTTGAGTCCCAGCACCCGTTTGGTGACTCACAACCGTCTGTAAATCCAGTCCCGGGAATCCGATGCCCTCTTCTGGTCTCCGAGAACACCAGGCACAAATGTAAACATGCAGGCAGACAAACCCGTCATTCACATAAACAACACTTTAAAAGAAGTGGCTGTGACCTTCTAGGATGTATTCGGCCACTATGTTCATCTCACCGTTTTTCCCACACCCTATTTTCTTTCTTGCTTTCTCACTTTAGCTTTCTGTCTTAGACTGTATGCTAAATCTTTCATTTAAGCTGAGGTGTGGCATACATAAGATGTAGTCAACTGTAAACCTATTTATACTTAATAGAGGACATGAAGTAAAGACATAAAGATTAAAATAATACAGGACACTAAAAGTTCCTCTCTAAAAGTCTATACTTTGTTACGGCGATAGAAAACAGCCTTGAGAAGTCCTTGCGATCCCAGCATGTGGCAAAGGACAGCTGTGGTGTGGACAGAGCTCTGCACACCAAGGGCAGCTTGGATTAATACTGACGTGTAGTGTATGGGGATCACTGTATTCCAGGCTTCACCTGCCTGATGCACCACTGAGTCCTCCCACCTGTTGGCACGGCACAAACCTGGCTGATGCACCACTGACTCCTCCCACCTGTTGGCATGGCACAAACCTGGCTGATGCACCACTGA